TGTTGTGCTTTCTGGGGAGCTCCCCCTGGTTTCGAGCGAGACCTTGTGTGATTGAGTTCAGTCATGGTTGAATCTGAGCTTGACGGCTCAACCTTTCTGACCCGGTTACATTCCTGGATCTTCAGATAGACCTGTTGGCTTTTGTACGGGTGGGGACTCCGGGGGGCAGGGGAGCAGGTGTAAGGATCCTGGAATGTGTATCCCCTGGGATCTCCTTCCCTCTCCTGCCTCCCGCTCCTCCCTGCACCCCTAACCTCCTCTCTCTGAATGGGGTGGTACCACTGACATGTTTGGGTCACGTTCCCATACTACTGCCTTTCGACTTTCATCCCGGCTAACCATGCATCTGCTAGGGAGTTTGATCAGAGGGAATGGGACATTGTGAATCAGCCGATGGGACCCCGTGGTCTCCAGGACCCTGGAGTTGGTAGAAGGGAGTAGTCAGGCCTTGCAGGTAGCGTGAGGGGTCATGAATGAGTCCATCCACCTGCCACCTTCTATGGGAGGTGTCCCCTGACCTCAAGCAGAAGTTCAGGGGTCAGGACAAGAGTGTCTGGATCCAGACAGAAAACTGCTGTGTACACGTCTCTCCAGAGGAGTTTCTTAACGAGATATTTGTATTTATTTCCAGACCAATAAATTTGTAACTTTGCAAAAAAGAAAAGAAAAAGAAAATGGGATTGTTTTCTTAGTTTCTCCTGCCAATGGTTCATTATTGATGTATAAAAATGCAGCTGATTTCTGAATATTTATTTTGTATCTTGCTACTTTCCTGAATTCAGATGTCAGTTCTAGTTGTGTGTTTTTTTTTGTTGTTGTTTTTTGGTGGACTCTTCAGGGTTCTCTATATGTAATATCATGTCATTAGCAAATAATGACAGTTTTACCTCTTACTTTCCAATTTGGACATCTTATATTTTCTTATAATTCTTTATATTTCTTTGGTGTCAGTTACTTCTCTTTCATTTTTAATTTTTTTGGCCCTCTCTTTTTATTGATTAGTCTGATTAAAAGTTTATCAATCTTTGTTTTGTTTTGTTTTCAAAGAGCCAGCTTTTAGTTTCATTTATTATTTTTTTGGTATTGTTTTCTGAGATTCAGTTTCTTTTCTTTCTGCTCTGATCTTATTCCTTCCTTCTACTCACTTTGGGCTTTGGTTGTTTTTTTGTTTGTTTGTTTTTCTAGTTCCTTTAAGTATACGGATAGATTGTTAATTTGACATTTTTTAAATTTCTTGAGGTAGGCCTACATTGTTATGAATTTTCCTTGTAGGTCTGCTTTTGCTGTGTTCCATAGATTTGGGGTTGTTATGTTTTCATTTTCATTTGTTTCAAGGTAGCCTTTGATTTCTTCCTTGATCTCATTGTTAATCCATTGATTATTTAGTAGCATGTGATTTAGCTTTCATGTGTTTGTGTGTTTTTCAGTTTTTTTTCTTGTGATTGATTTCTAGTTTCATACCATTGTGGTTGGAGAAGATGCATGAAATGGTTTCAGTGGTCTATCCTGGAAAATGCGATTTCTAGTTTCATACCATTGTGGTTGGAGAAGGTGCATGAAATGGTTTCAGTTTTCTTTAATTTATTGAGGCTTGCCTTATGACCTAACATGTGGTCTATCCTGGAAAATGTTCTATGTGCACTTGAAAAAATGTATTTCCTGCAATTCTGGGGTGTAATGCTATGAAAACATTAATTAAATCCATTTGGTGTAATGTGTCATTTAAAGCCCCTGTTTCCGTGTGTGTGTGTGTGTGTGTGTTTGTTTGTCTTGTTGTCTGGAAGATAAAAAATGTACTGGGTGTTAAAGTCCCCTACTATGACTATATTACTGTTGATATCTCCCTTTATGTCCATCAATATTTGCTTTATATATTTAGGTGCTCATATGTTGAGTGCATAAATGTTTGTAAGGATTATATCCTGTTGTTGGTTTGCTCCCTTTATCATTATGTAATGACCTTCTTTTTCTCTTGTTATAGCCTTTTTAAAAAAGTCTATTTTGACTGATATTAATATTACTACCCCAGCTTTTATTTTTAATTTCTACTTGCATGGAATATCTCTTCCCATTCCTTTACTTTCAGTCTGTATGTATCTTTCATTCCATGGTGGGTGTCTTATACATATATATGGATCTTGTTTTCTTATCCATTCAGCTAACCTATGTCTTTTATTGGAGCATTTAAGCTGTTTACATTTAAAGGGACTGTTGATAGGTACATATTTATTGCCACTTTATTCTTTATAATTATGTTCCTTCTTTTTTTCCTTTTTCTTCTTATAGAAGTCCCTTTTACATTTCTTGCAATACTAGCTTGTTGGTGATGAACTCCTTTAACTTTTCTTGTCTAGGAAGCTCTTTATTTCTTTTCCAATTTTAAATGATAGTGTTGGTTGTAGGTCCATGCTTTTCATCACTGTGAATATTTCACACCAATTGTGTTTTCTTATCCATTCAGCTAACCTATGTCTTTTATTGGAGCATTTAAGCTGTTTACATTTAAAGGGACTGTTGATAGGTACATATTTATTGCCACTTTATTCTTTATAATTATGTTCCTCCTTTTTTCCCTTTTTCTTCTTATAGAAGTCCCTTTTACATTTCTTGCAATACTAGCTTGTTGGTGATGAACTCCTTTAACTTTTCTTGTCTAGGAAGCTCTTTATTTCTTTTCCAATTTTAAATGATAGTGTTGGTTGTAGGTCCATGCTTTTCATCACTGTGAATATTTCACACCAATTGTTTCTGGCCTGAAAAGTTTCTTTTGAGAAATCAGATGACAGTCTTACAGAAGCTCCATTGTAGATAACTGTCTTTCTCTTGTGGTTTTTAAAGTTCTCTTTGTCTTTAACCTTTGCCATTTTAATTGTGATGTGTCTCAATGTGGACCTTTTGAGTTCATCTTGTTTGGGAAGCTCTTTATTTCTTTTCCAATTTTAAATGATAACCTTGGTTGTAGGTCCATGCTTTTCACCACTGAATATTTCACACCAATTGTTTCTGAGAAATCAGATGACAGTCTTACAGAAGCTCCATTGTAGATAACTGTCTTTCTCTTGTGGTTTTTAAAGTTCTCTTTGTCTTTAACCTTTGCCATTTTAATTGTGATGTGTCTCAATGTGGACCTTTTGAGTTCATCTTGTTTGGGACTGTCTGCACTTCCTGGACTTACGTTTCTAGGTTAGGGAAGTTTTCAGTCATTATTTCTTCAAATAGGTTTTCAGTCCCTTGCTACCTCTCTTCTCCTTCTGGTACCTCTATGATGCAGATGTCCTTATGCTTAATGTTATCCCAGAGGTTCCTTAGAGTATCCTCATTTTTTAAATTGATTGATTGATTGATGAGAGAGAGAGAAAAAACATTGATTTATTGTTCCATTTATTTATTTATTCATTAGTTGATTCTTGTATGCACCCTCACCCATGGATAGAACCCACAACCTTGGCATATTGGGATGACTCTCAAACCAACTACCTGGACAGGATTAGCATACTCATTTTTTAAAACTCTTTTTTCTTTTTGCTGCTCTGTGTAGGTATTTTCAGCTACTTTGTCTTCCAAACTGCTGATTTAATCCTCTACTTTGTCTAACCTGCTATTGATTCCTTCTGGTGTATTTTTCATCTCAGTTAATGTATTCTTGACTTCTGACTGGTTATTTTTTATGGTTTCTATGTCCTTTTTTATGTTTACTATCTCTTTAAGTTCTCACTGATTTAATCTATTCTTACCCTAAATTACTTACTATCTCTTTAAGTTCTCACTGATTTAATCCATTCTTCCCCTAAATTATTTGAGCATCTTTATAACCATTGTTTTGAACTCTATATTTGGTAGCTTGCTTGCCTCCATTTCATTTAGTTCTTTTTCTGTGAATTTCTCCTGTTTTTTTCATTTGACTGCTTGCCTCCATTTCATTTAGTTCTTTTTTCTGTGAATTTCTCCTGTGTTTTTTTTTTTCATTTGAGGCATGTTTCTTTATCTCCCCATTTTGGCTGCCATTCTGTATTTGTTTCTATGTACTAGGCAGATCTGCTATGTCTCCCAGTCTTTGTATGGTGGCCTTATGTAGTAGGTGTCTTGTGGGGCTTGGTGGTGCAATCTCCCTGATCACCTGAGCTAAGTGCTCCAGGAAAGTCTCTTGTAGGTTATGTGAGCCCTGCTGTTGTAGATGAGTATTGATTACTGTTGCCCTGTCTGTGGAGGGGTTGACCCTTGGGCTGGCTGAATATGAGAACTGATCCCAACCATAGTGTATGAGCTGCTGTGTGGGGCTGACTCTATGAGGCAGAATTTGCCCCAATAGAGTTTGATGCATGCCAAGCTCTCCCTTTGGCTGTGCCACTTGTGGAGCTTAGTGAGTCTGGTGTGGTCTGAAGTTCACCACAGTGTATGTTGGTTCTGGGGACTCTTGAAAGGGACTCCAGTGCAGGTAAATGACAGATACTGCCTGTAACCTGCCTTGGGCTACCCTTCTGGAGCTATCAAACAATCCACAGTTTGTGGCTGTCTCTGCTGGGGCTGGGTGCACGTGGGAGGGACCAAGCTGCATACCAAGGCTGGTTTCCACCAGCTCCAACCTCAAGAGCAGGTCAGCAAAAGGCTCAAGGCACCCAGAGATCTGCCTTTGCCTGTCTGCTGCCTGTTAGGCTCAGCCACTGGAAGAGCCTCTGATGGTGTGTGAGTTACATGAGATAGGTTCTCAGTGAGTCGTCAGGTGTGGGTAAGTTGTGTTCATCAGGTTGGTAAAGATTCAAACTCAGTGCCAGTGCTGTGTCTGAGGCCACTCAGCAAAAGACTCAGGGTACACCAAAGCCAACCCCCTCCTACCTGGGACCTGCGGACCTTTGTGATGAGGCAGGGTCTCAGGGAGTCATCAGTATGAGGCCAGTGGAGTTCAACAGGCTAAAATAGACCAGAGCTTCTTACAGAAATGAAGGCACTGCTCAGGCACAGTGAAAAAAAATGGCCCTCACCCCATATTCAACCTCTTTTCATGTGATTCTGGCACTGTTAAGCCTGCCCAATCCTCTTCAAGAGTTCCTCAACAAGGTCTGCATGAGGCTCATGCTAGAGTCCTCCAAAGACCTCTCCACTGGGAGTGATCCCTACAGGGTAGATCCTCCAGGAGTCAGCAGGGAGGTGCTGTTGCCACTCCCCGGGTTGATGTTGTATGGAGAGGATGCTTGACCCAGGAAAGATGACATCTGTGGGTGGTGTGGGAGAGAGACCCAGCACAGGGACACTTGATGCTGTCACACCAGCCCTCTCCCCACAGCCACACCACTCACTTCTCCGTTTTTTTGTTTTTGTTTTTTTGGTTAATCCTCACTCATTTATTTTTTTTCTTCTTTCTTTCTCTCTCTTTCTTTCTTTCTTTCTTTCTTTCTTTCTTTCTTTCTTTCTCTCTTTCTTTTTAGAAACAGTGGAAGAGAGGGAAATAGAGAAAGAGAAAAAAACATCAATGTAAGAGAGACACATCGATTAGTTGCCTCCCACAGGTGCCCCAACAAGGGGCTGAGAATCGAACCTGCAACCTAGGTATGTGCCCTTGACTAGGAGTTGAACCTGACACCCTTTGGTACATAGGCTGATGCTCTAACCACTGCCCCACCAAGGCCTCAACTTCTCTCTTTATGACACCAGTTCTCTCTGAGTGGCTATTCCCAAGATGAGTGTCTCAACTGAGATTCTGTGCACTGGCCCTTCAAGAGAGCCACCCCCTTCTTCACCAGGACTGGTGGACTCGCCTCGGATTTTCACAGCCAGATGTTGTGTGGGCTCCTCTTCCCAGCTCTAGTGCTCTCCATTAGGGACCCTGGCATGGGGCTGAGGCCCTTCACTCCTTCAGCGGAGTCCTCTTCAGGTGAGATAGCCCTCTGGATTCTCACTGCCGCCTATGGGTGCAGGGCCAGTCTCCATGCAGGTTCCTCTGTAAATCCTTACTTATAAGGCCTCCGTTCAACTAGTCTTCAGATGGTTACTCAGGTTGATTGGCCCTGAGAGGAGGCAAGTGTAACTTCACCTGCTCTGCTGCCATCTGGCCCACTCTGGCCAATTCTTGAACTGCCTTTTACCTCCACACATGATGCTGCAGAAGACCCAGAGGCCACACACTCCTCTGGAAGTTGACCATCCTTCTAGTCAAGCTTTTTCAGTTTGAGGCTAAGAAACCCCAGATGTCTTTCACTCTCTCGCCCGTCTTTTCTGAGCACTGGGCTTATTATCAAGCATGCTGCGATTTGCCACCAGGTCTTAGAAATCTCATTGTTATGTGAAGAGAAAACACAAAATTATTTGGTTTTCCCAAGATTTGCAAGATTTTAACCACGACTTAAATACCTGTTATTATAGCACAATTTATGCCAAAAAAGAAAAAGTGAAGCTCCAAGTACGTCTGAACCAGTCTTGTGACTGAGAAAGTGGAAAATCGTCTTCTGCCTTCAGCCCAAATTAAAGGGTAGTCAGAATACACTGTGACTTGGCGGAACTTTTCTATGTAGTGAAGGGCCGTCTCCCTCCTTTGCATTTGCAGAAGCTCCAGGTGGGGCCCTGAGAGAGCAGCTGGGAGGACTTGACCTCAGGGTCCTTGAGTCCGGAGCCACCTGGTCTAGGGGTATGGGCCCTGGCATGCTGATGTCCTGGCTTTATCCCCCAGACGCCCACAAGCCAGTCCTGGGGTGGGGGCTTGGGCACTGGCATCATTTTTAAAAACTCTGCAGGTGAGCTTAATGAGAACACAGGTCTAGTCGAATCCCCTACTTTTTGAGTGGGACAATAGAGGTCTAGGCAGAGGAGGCTGACTGACCAAGGTCATCTCACTGGTTAGTGGGGAAGCCTGACTGGGCTGGAACGCCTTGAAGACTGGAGTACTGTGTATCCAGTTTTGAACTGTTGTTTGGGCTGTTCTCTGATTCTGTGGCCTTATTGTGTGGCCAGGCCTAGAAGTGACAGGAAGGCCACCTTCCTCTGAGATGCTTATCTGCCTTCCCTCTCTGTGCTTTCTCTCCCACCTGAGACCCCCACCTCCTGTCACCCTGGCACACCCCCTCCTAATTGTACAGAAACCCCACTGTAGCATGCCCCCCCAACCCCCAAGCCTGGGATCCCGGCCACGTCCCAGGCCCTGAGTCATGCCAATGAGCAAAGAGATGCCACTGCGTACCAGCCCTGGGTGGTTAATTCAGGCTCAGTAGCCTATCCGATGCCAAACTCAAATCTGTCCACATGCAGTTGTTTTAAACATCACCCAAACAAGCAGATTTTTAGCCACTTAGAGCCTGCCAGTTTTACATTCCCCAAGAAACTGTACCCAACATCTGCCAGCCAAGGATACCCCAGGCCACAAAGCCCCCAAACTCTGCTGTCCTTTGGCACCCCATGTCCCCAAGATTCCCACTGTGCTGCTAAGTGCATCACCCAGACACACAAGCCCCCTTTTCCATCCCCCTCTCCCGCCCTGTGCCCTCCTCTCCTCTAAGCAGCAACCACCATTGAATGGCCAGATTCCTACTGTGAGGCCCCCACAACATCAATGTAGAAAGCATCACCCAGTAAGCTGGAGTGTGCCACTGCCCCCTTATGCTCACACTTCATTCCTTGACGGCCCCAAGTCCTGGGAACCTCCTACATCTGGGCTTTGCCCTTTTTCCAGTCTTCCTTCAAAACTGCTAGCCCAAGTCCCCTGTCTTCTCAAATTTTCTGACCCAAGTAATACATTCATTTCTATGGACTTACCAGTGGCCAATTCATTTATTCACCAAATATTTACTGAGCACCCAGGCCATACCACATACTGATCTGGGTACTTGAGATGCATCACAGAAGAAAACGTGGAAACCCCTGCCTGTGTGGATGGATGTCTGAGGGTGACAACAGCTCACAGCTTCTCCTGCCATGAGAACACTGTGCCGGGGCCAGGAGGTGCTAAGGGGGAGGTCTTGGTGTCGGCAGTGAGCTGGTGAGAGGTGCTGCGCTTTAGAGCTGAGCTTTTCACACTTTAACCCACCTAGAATCACCTGGAGACTGGTTAGGATTAGATCCTGTCAGTGAGTCTGGTGTGAGGTCTGGGGTGCTGCATTTTAGCTCCCCATATGCTGCTGCTGCTGCTGGTCTGAGGACCACACTTTGAGCAACAAAGCTTTAAAGAGGATTGCTTTGGGAGCTGACTCTTCCAGCCTCAATACTAGTAAAAATCATGTTAGTGCCTATCACAGAAGGTGGTTGCAAAGGTGGAATGAGGTAATGCAGGCCTTTGCATCTGCTATAGATGATCTGCTTTTGGCAATGAGGAAACTGAAACTCCAAGACCTTATCTCAGCGGTTCTCAACCTGTGGGTCACGACCCCTTTGGGGGTCAAACGACCCTTTCACAGGGGTCGCCTAAGACCATCGGAAAACACATATATAATTACATATTGTTTTGTGATGAATCACTATGCTTTAATTATGTTCAATTTGTAACAATGAAAATACATCCTGCATATCAGATATTTACATGACGATTCATAACAGGAGCAAAATTACAGTTATGAAGTAGCAACGAAAATAATTTTATGGTTGGGGTTCACCACAACATGAGGAACTGTATTAAAGGGTCGCGGCATTAGGAAGGTTGAGAACCACTGCTTATCTCATCCAGGGCACACATGCAGACAGCAAATGGCTCCAGAGTCCCAGGGCTTGCGTGGGTGGCTGTGCCCTGTCTTGCCTTGAACTACCCTCACTGCATAAGCCTTTGAAGGGCAGGATGGCTGCAGAGTCACGTGTTCGCTGCTGCTGTGACCGTTCAGCCTTGAAGGGTTTCTGCCTTGAACTTCCTCCTTTCATCAGGACTGAAGACATATCAACATCCCACGCCCTTTTAGCACACACGGCATTTCACCCGCATCATCTCGGTTCACCCGTGTATAGTCCTCCTTTCACACAAGGAAGAGAAACTGAGATGGCCAACCTCCTGGGCCTCATTGTCGTCACACACAGGATCTAAGACCTAGATAATATCGTGACAATTTTCTCCAATCGGTTGCCTTTCAATCTGCTGAATGCAGTTTGCTCTTTGCAATGAGAGCTCCTCCTCAAATAAAGCTGGGCAGGAAGTCGGGTTTATGAGCAGGGTGATGTGGGGCTCCTTCCCAGGCACCTGGGAGAGGGACCCAAGTAGCCCTCTTTAGAACCAGATCAAAGCCACCACTCTTCTGGACCAAGCAAGCAGCCAGGGCCCGCTGGGGCCTGAGTCCAGGACTCCCGGCAGGAGCGGGACGCACTCCCTGCCCGCCTGACGATTAGCTGAGGGACAGCTGATGAGCAGTCCTTCCTAGGGTCTAGCGCACCCACCTCCTGAGCCCAATGCAATGTTCCCCTTGGAGATCCTGTTTCCCAGCACTCTCTGCCCCGAGCCAGGCGCCATGGACACAGCCAGCAAAGTAGACGCGTTTTTAAGGTTTTATTGTAAAACAGAGCTTAAGGGGCAGGGAACAGGGAACTTTCCACTGGACACAGACAGCACATAAGGGCCGCCACACACAGCCCTGCGAGGAGCTGACATACTCAAGTCCCTGTCCCTGCTCCAGGCTGGCGGCACCCAGACACCAGGCCTCTCAGACCAGCCTCCGCGTGGAAGTGCTGAGATGATCAGGCGTCTCTGTCTTCGGAGGGAGAGGAGGACCCCGGGCCAGCTGTGCTGGGAGCACTGCCAGCCGCTGGGGGAGGCCTGGAGTACAGATGGTGCTTGGGCCAGGGCAGTGGGGTCCAGACTTACAGGAACGTTTCAGAAAGAAAAAAATTAGGCACCCTGGTACATTAACTTCTCATTTTACCGGTTAGGGTATTACAACAATAAGAACGAAAAAAAAAAGGAGACTTGCTTTCATCATAGTTTTTCACAAACACATGGATGTTTTGCTCTCCCACCCCCTTCCAGGAAGGGCACAATCCCCAAATAAAGCATTTTACAATTGGATACAGTGGTCCTTTAAAATACCGTGAAATCCTTATTTTTCATTTAGCCACGGACCCTAAAAGCGCTGCTATCCCAAGGTTTGCAAACAAGGTTTGGGAGACACTTGGTGGGAGGTGAGTGAGTGGCTTCTTGGACCTGGGCGTGGAAAGTGGGCAGGCAGGGAGCTGGGAGGGGGGAGCAGAGGGTGTCCAGTCTGGCAGGTGTCCCGGCTGCTATCCGGAAGGCACAGGTGATGCTGCAGGAAGGGCGTGAAGCCACATTGTGGTCCCAGTTGCCCTTCAGAGAGACCACTTGGGGCGGCATGAAGGTTGCAGCAGCTAAGGGGCTGGAGACGGAGTTGGACACCAGGTTCCTCAGTTCCTTTGGGGGGCCCACCTGCCATTGCTACTCCCTGCCCCCCCCCCAGGCTGGGACCCTGGGCAGGGCAGAGGGGTGTCCGGAGCCTGGATGTGCTGGCCTAGGGCAGAGTGACAGCACCACTAGTCCTGCTGGAAGTAGAACTTGGTGACCCTGACCGCCTCCCGGGGCTCATTGGTGAGGCTGACGGGCTGGTCGGCCTCCAGGGCTGTGCAGAGGAACCAGCCGCGGCAGGCGACCGACTCGAAGGTGGTGGTGGGGCCGCTGTCGGAACGGATGAAGGTGAAGCGCTTGTTCTGCTCCGTGGTCTTGCTCAGGTCAGTGATGTTGACCTCCTGGAAGCCAAGAGGTGAGCAGGTAAGCGCTCCTGTGCCACCTGCCCCTCCACCCACCACAGGGGCCCCGGGCTTCCCAGGACATTCCAGGGGGACGCTGACTGCAGAGCCTGTGGGAGACCAGATGGCCCATGGACACACCTTGGCTTGGGAAAATCTGGCCGCTCTGGCCAGGGCTCAGAGAGTTTAATGAACACATGGCCCCATCAGCAGGGGCCCAGGCCTTTGGAGGCTGAGTTCAGTTGGGTCTGTGCCTCTAAGGAGGGGGCAGTGCAGAAGGTGAGCAGAGCATTGTAGTCCATTTGATGCTGCCATCTCTACCCCACCCAGCAGGCAGTCACCCTGCCGGGAGTGGAGCAAGGGGACAGTGCCACGGTTATGGCCACTGGACTAAGGTTACATTGGGTTAAGATGTGTCCCAGCACTCTCCCGAGACAGAGCCATCTTTTCTGAGGGCAGTCTATGAACACTGCTTGGGACTAAGACATGCAGGGCCCAGATGGCATGTCAGCCCCTGGGTCTGAGTAGACCAGGACTGGGAGAGAGAAGTCTGCATGGAGCTTTACTGAAAGAGGCCAAGTCTCTGTGGGTTGGAGGCCCTTGGACAAGAGAGCAGCATCCAGATCGAGGTCCCCAAATGAGCCTCCTCCTGGTGCCCACCCCTGTGTCGCTCCCTCCCCCACTGAGGCAGACTCAGCCACGTGACGGGCTTTGGCCAAGGGGACAAGCAGTGTGATGCACGCAGATATTTATTAAGTGCTGTGATTTTGGAATAATTCTTGTGAGAAGCCAGCAGCCGAGCTCCTTGCTGGATGCACCTACAGGACCGGCCCAGCCAGCCCACGTGAAACAGAACAGCCCTGCAGACCCCAGACAGCCCACAGGAAGAGCACATGGAGTCGCTCATGGTTGGGGTGGCTGTTAGCAGGCAGGTGCTTACCTCCAGCTGGAGCCTGATCTCATCGCCAGCCTTGACACAGGCCAGGCACAGCTTCCCGCCATGGATGCCCAGGAGCACAGTGTGGGGCTCGACAGGCACCACGTCTATCTTCTCTGGGGAAGAGCAGAGGGCAAGGTCAGCTTGTAGAGAAGAGAAGGCACCAATGGAAAAGAGCATGGATGCTTCCCGGGGCTCCTCTGTCCTCCTGACTAAACCCAAGGTCCTAAGGACAGTGGGGCCCCATTGTTCTGGTCTGCTTCCAAGCAGGAGAGCCAATCAAGAGCAGCCACCTAGCTGCTCCTCCAGGCCAAGTCGCCTGGGTTCTGCTCCACCTGATTTCTATCTTCTCTCAATCCCCGGAGACCTGAGCGCCAGGTCAACAGTGTGCTGCTCATGGGCCATGTCCCAGTAAAAGCCACGCCTTTCTGCTTCAGCGTGTTTATTAGGAGCAATACCAGGACTGGAAGCGGGTCTTGCCCTGGTTGGGGCGGGGGCGGTACGGAGCATGGAGAGCAGGGGAGGCAGGGTGAGGAGATGGAGGGGATGCCAAGCCGGCCAACAGGTTGTGGGAGCTTCCCAGAAGGCCAACGGTGAAGCTCTCCCACCACGTCATCTGCCCCCCCTCATTGTACTAAAGGGAAACTGAGGAATAGACTTGGGTGGCTGCCCGAGTCCATCTGGCTTATTTAGGACCTGGCCTGGAGCTTGCTGATGTGTGCACAGGAAGGCACACAGCCCAGCCTGTGTGCTGTGTTCACTGTGGGAGCGAGTGAGAGTTTAAACCTCAGGGACGCGGGGCTGACTGGGCACAGGAGGAAGGCAAGGTCTCAGCCTAGCCTTCTGCCCTGTGCCACCCCCACACCTCCACCTCCCGGAGCTGTGGCCCTGGGACCACGGTGCCTGAAGGTGGAGGCTCCCCAGCTATATCTCCCCCTCCCTGCCCTCAACTGTGCCCTCCAGTGGCCCAGCCTCCCCAGCGGGACCAGGATGTCACAGAGGCCACAGCACCAGCGCAGCAGACCCAGGCCGTGACCCAGCAGCCGCACATCGGCGTTCCTGGCAGCCACTCACCTTCTAGTTTCGTATTTGGTCCTTGCAAGTAGCCGGCGACTAGTTGGTTGTTCCTCAGGTAGAAGGTCTTCTGGTTAACGTCCCAGATTCTGAAAAGCGAAAGGGCCCGCTGTACTGGACAAGGTTGAGCCCGGCCCTGGGCTCAGCCCCTTCTTGTGTCTCCCGGAGCTCGCTGAGTCTGCACCCAACTTTCTGCCGGGGAGTGGTATTTCCCACACTCAGGGCATGAGGAGGCAACTGAGGTGGTCCCGGACAGGAGACAGGCCCGTTCCTCGCCCTGTTCTCCTCCACGGGTTCCTGGGACCAGCGCCTGGACCTCAGCCCCGGGGCGGCCCTGCCAATAGGCCTGCCGAGGCACAGAGTCCGTCCCCTGCCCCACTTGGGCCACCAGCCATCATGGCTACTGAGCTCCTGGAAGGTGGTGCGCCTGAGGATCTGCATTTTTAAGTTTGATTTTACTTTTATTAATTCATTTTTATTAACTATTCATTTAAATGTACACTTAGAGTCATCTGAGAGCAGTGGCCACCGCAGAATGCTGTATTTTAAGGCACAGAGGACCTTGTAGCAACTGCAGGGGCCTGTCCCAGAGCCTGTCCTCCACCACCAGGGCCTGTGCCGGGTCTGGCAGGGACAGCGTCCCGTCCAGCTCACCCAGGTGCCTGTTTCTGGCTCCTGGTCCTTTCTTCTTGGCAAAGGGCCCGTCCACTGGAGGGCCCTCCACTCCCTGCTGCCCACCAGCCCGACTGTGGCCTGTGCCTTGTTGTCTCCTGTCCTATGAAAGGCAGCTGACACCCCCCCCTCCCCAGGGGGCTTTGAGGAGCCCACGCGCTGGGTGGGTGGGTGGTCAGGCAAAGAAAAGTTCTTTGCACGTGGATGCATTTGACCTTTTGTAATTATTCTAGTTCTGGAGGAGTGTCCATCTCAAGGGACTAACAGCCCTGACTGGAGCCTCCGGGGACATCTCCTGGAGCTCCCCACCACAGGAGGAGGCAGAGCCAACCTCCCCCTCTGGATTCGCACGCACACAGTCTGACCTGCAGCCCGTGCCAGAGACACCCAGCGCTGGGGGTGAAGTGACCCAGCCCAGCTCAGTCCTGGGTAGCAGGGCAGAGGGCGTGTGCAGACGTGTCGCAGCCTGTCATCTGCACAGCAGTGATGGTGATGTCTCACAAAGCTCCTGACCCAATTGCTAAAGATCACAACACCTTGGGGGCACGTTATAGTTCACAGAGCACGGTCACAGTGTGACCTTCACAACCTCTCAGGCAGGCAGGAGTCACTGGAAACCCCCTGTCACAGGTGGGGAAACTGAGGCCCGGGAGTCAGGATCTGCCACCGTGAGCACAGACAGACACTGCTAACCACCATCTAGAACCAAGGGCCACCCTGCCCCGGCGCCCTCTCTGCTTCTTCGCCCAGCACACCCAGGCCACACCCCAGCCAGGCTCTTGGGCACGTGTCTGTCACCTGCTGAGTTGCCAGGGTGTCTGGAAAAGCCAGGCAGGCAGGCCTCAGAGGCAGCCACGCTTGCACATCTGGGACATTTTGAAACACAAGTCCTGCAGGCTTCGCACGTGGCAGCCGCTTTGTGCAATAATGGACGTCCCTTTCCCGCCCGACAGAAACGCGAGGGCTGTAGCACGTCCCCCGCCTCCTCCGCCGCCGGCCTTACCTGAAGGCTTGCATCTTGCTGGGCCTCCTGCCTGAGGGGCGGCAGGCTGTCTCTGAAGGGAACAGGAAGAGGAGGAGAGAGATTAGGTGACTGAGGGGGCACCTGCAGATTGCCATCCCGGGGCGCCTCGTGCAACAAGGACTGCCATTCTGGGCCGGAGGAGCTGCTTATAAAGAAGGTAGCCACTCACCACACCAGCAGAAACGGAAATGCCCTCACATTTCCAAAAAGAGAAACCTTGCTGTTGTCACGGTCAGGCCTGCTGGGTGTCGCAACACAGTGTTGTAACCATCCCTCCCCTTTTCCCCAGTGTAATTTCCCCAAAATGGAGATCTCCATTTCCCTTCACTGAGCTCCTGGGAAGAAAAGCACAACCATCACCAAACACCGTCATCTGCCTGACAGGTGGCCGGGGACTGTTGGCCAACCTAACGCAGATGTGAAGAACCTGAGGCATGGCTGGATGAAAGACTGACAGACAGCTGTCAGAGGGGAGGGGGCGGGGCTGGATGAAGGAAGGGGATGGGAATTAGCTGAAGAGCGTACATGCATAGCCCAAGGACACACACAACAGTGTGGTGATGGCCAGAGGGAAGGGGGGTTGGAGGCTGGGAGAAGGGGGGCAAAGGGAGAGACATTGCTGGGGGGGATGTGTGCAGGATGCAGTGTGCAGAGGAGGTTTTGTTGACTTGTACACTTGAAACCTATATAGGTTTCACCTCAACGTCACCCCAATAAATTCAATTTTTAAAAAACCATGAATCCGAGTAAAAATGTCCCCTTTCCTAATGCCGAGTGCCAGGGCTGAGCACAGGGACCGTCTCCTGTCACGTGGTGTCCACAGAAGGAGGGACGACCTAGCTGGACTCTGGACCAGGGCTGTGAACGTCCTGTAAAAAGGACCAAATAGTAAACTTTTTAGGGTTTGTGGGCCACGCAGTCTTGCGATTTCTCAACTCGGAGTTGTAGTTCAAAGGCAGTAAACAGTGCGTAACTGAAAAGCTGGGTGAGTTCCGTGTGACTTTATGTACAGAACCGCGTGGCGGCTTTGCCTGCAGGTTGCCACTCCTGCTCCAGAGCCAGCTGCCTGGAAGGGGCTTTGACACCAGCCCTGCTCCTGCCGTCCACTCTCTGAGGTTATGGTCCTGGGGCACTGGGGGGACTCAGCCCCGGGTCAGAAATGGGTCCAAATTCCCCCTGCCCCTCGCCCTCAGCCCCGTGTGGCCTTGAACAAGTCACTTCACTGATTGCAGCCTCTGCCTCCTCACATTCAGAATGAGGCCTCTCATGTCTTCCCCACAGTGTGAGGAGGGAGGGGAGGAAGGAAGCAAAGGGAAGGGAAGGGAGGGGTGGGGGGGAGACGAGAGGGAAGGCAGTAGGGAAGGGAGAGTTCCGGTCCAGAGTGGGCAGTAATAAGCACAAATTCCCTTCCTTATTGCATTCTTGCCTTCTAGAGACCGAGGAGAAAGGTAAGCACACTGGTGTTTATGGAAAGAACAAAGGCAGGAAGGGTTCTCTGTGGCCTGAGTGATGGGAATACATGTCGGTGCAGAAACAGGTCTCAGTGTCTCAGGCCTGGGGGAAGCGTGGCAGTCCCCCCATCTCCCAGCCACTGTTTGGAAGAAGACCCAGAAGGCCCAGGAAGGAAGGGGGACCTGCCCAAGTCACACAGCTCGTCAGTGGCACTGACAGGACGTCCAGCCAGGGCCAGCCTCCTGCAGCCGTCCATGGGATGGGTCTGACTTTATTTTTAATCAACAAATCAGAATCTATGTCCAAATGAGGATAAATCCTTCAAAGGGGAGGTCACTCCGTATATTTGAAAGTTGCTAAGAGAATAAATCTTAAAAGTTCTTATCACAAGAAAAAAAAATTATGTAGTAAAACCATGTGTGGTGACAGGCAAATCACTGTCCTACACGCGAAATCAGTATATGTCAATTACGCATCAATAAAAAAATAAAGAGGAAGGCTACAAAAGAACTTCCCAAATCTTTAAAGAGCTCCTCATGAGAACAAATGGAATATTTCTGAAAAAAACTGTATCACCACCATGAGCGTTTGCTTGGGGAGGCAGATGGCTCGTACCTGCCCTGCTCTGTTGCCACAGCCTTTGAGTTGGTGGGAGTCATTGACCCTCCACAGCACATTTGAGAAATGGTATCTGTCTTTGAGGGCCAGGGAGCGATTAGTTTTTGTTAGTTTTAGGGAGGGCTGCTTGAAGGAGGTGCTGTGCATGAACCCACAGTCAAGGTCCTGCCCACAGTTTGGTTCCTGGGTATGTTCCTCGGCCCCCAACCCAAATTCAGAGACAGATCTCTCCTGGAAAGCTGAAGCCTGGGTTCCCACCTTTCCCACATGTGTGTCCTTGGCCCACTGCACCCGAGAAGTGGCCCACAGGCCTTTGGGCCCGACTTGAAGTCAGGCAACCTAAGCTGCGTCCTCCTTCGTCATTCCTGAGCTGGGCCGCCAGGACAAGTATGTGCCCAAGCTCTCCCGGTCCAAGTTTCATTATCCGTTAGCTGGGCGACTAGCAGACACCTTGTCATGGGTCGCTATGTGGACTGAAGTGCTGCACGTGGCGTACTTAGCCCTGACCTGGTCACAGAGGAAACACTCAAACAATAAATTGTTATTGAGTGTACTTTCCATCCCAGGTAAAGTGGGTGAGGGCAATCACAGTGCCCCTGACCGTCTACACTGCCCTGCACTCCGGCCCTCACTCCCTGGTGTGGGAGGAAGCAGGGGGAGGGGCAGCTCCCTCCTCTACTCACGCTTCTGGCCACAGTTCCACTCTTGGTTCCGTCTTAAGACAGTTGATGTCCCTACGATTTCTGCCCACAGGAAACCTCTGACTAAACTTATTCTCAGTTGTAGTGCTCAGTCCCTCACGCTGCTTCCTGAATTAAGATCAATGACCACATCACACAGTGGACTTGGCCCTCCCAGCTGCCTCTTGTCCCTCTCTCTGAGCTGCAGGCATCACAGGTATGTCGAGTGTCTTCCACGCTGAGCCCTCCCCGACTGGACACTTGTGACAGCAGAACCGACCAAGTCCCACTTACAGAGAGACAGGAACACCAGGCTGTCCACGTCCCAGGAGTGGCAGTAGGCAGGTCTCCAGGGTGAGCCCTGGGAGTCGATGCCCATACAGTGTTCAGCACGGCGACATTCACACGAACGCCATCTCTTTCTCAGTTTCAGTTCATTGCGTCTTTCCGTTCTACAGTTTACATTTGGTTCCTTTCTTGTAGTTTCTAGTTCTCCGCCCAAAGTTTCCATCTTGTCTTTTACATTTTCAACATTTTATTTGTGGTTCGTGTAAAGGCTGCTCCTGATAACTCCCTCGTTGGAGCTCCACTGGGCCTTTTCCTATTGTCTGTTTCATTCCTGCGCAGGTTGCCTTGTCTGTGCCTGACAACGGGCTGCTGACTGCTGGACACCGTATAGCAAACGCTGTTGGGATCAATGAGGCTCTGGATGAAGTTGTCTTTATCCAGAGACGATTCACTTTCGTTCCACTGGGCGGTGAGGCCAGGGCGCTGCAGCCCAGGTGCCCTTCCCCGAGGCAGGGCTGGAGATGACGCAGTCACTGTGCAGACTGCTCCTCATCCTCCAGGGTCCCAGCCCAAACCTGCGGCGTTTATCCAGGCCCCTCCTCCTCAGTGGGAGATAAAGGCAAATGTTATCCTCCTCATCCCCAAGCCCCAGGAGCCTGTTCACAGACCAGCCACGGCTTTTGAAACCAGCAGGTGCATTCAGTGCAGTAAACGGGGAAAGGCCCCGATGCCGAGCTCCGACTCGCGGGGCCTTTGCAGTTCCTCAAAGCCTCGGCCAGAACGTTTCCGGTCAAGATGGTGGTGTAGCTAAATGCAGTCCGCCAATCCTCCCACAACCACATCAAAATTACAACTAAACTACAGAACAACCGTCATTCAGAACCGCCTGAAATCCAGCTGAATAGATGTCCCACAACTAGGGATTTAAAGGAGAAGCCACAGCCTGGCCGGTATGGCTCATTGGTCAAATGTCGAACTATGAACCAGGAGGTCACAGTTCAATTCCTGGTCAGGGCACATGCTGGAGTTGTGGGCTGGATCCCCAGTGTGGGGCATGCAGGAGGCAGCCAACCAATGATTCTCTCTCATCATTGATGCTTCTGTCTCTCTCTCTCTTCTTTCCTCTCTGAAATCAATTTAAAAAATATTTTTAAAAATATAAGAGAAAAGTAAAATAAAAGAGGAAGCCATGTCTTGGCTGCGAAGGTCCCTCTTGAGAAGCGAGGTGTCCCAATCTCACACCAGGCCTACCAGCCCAGGGTTCCAGAGCCAGGAAGAGAAGTCCCCATAACTTCTGGCTGTAAAAACCAGTGGGGATTGTGGCTGAGATGGAGGCTGCTGGAGTACCAGGCAGTTCCTCTCAAAGGGCCCACATATGGATTTACTTGGACCCACTCCCTCTGAGCTCCAGCACTGGGTCAGCAATTTGAACGGAAACAAGGACAAATTCAGAAACTGAATTGTCTGGCTTCAGGGTGAAAGTGGGGGGAGGGGAAGGGGGTCAGTTTCTGTCAGACAAAAGTCCTGGATGAGGCCACTTCTCCTTTTCTGGCCCCCACCACAACCCCAGAGCCAACAGGCAGGCACAATATCTGAATTTCACCTACGTGGCTCAGACTGTTTGCCCCACCTAACCTGTGGGCCCACCAACACTGTTTCCAGTGGCTTTCCATGCAAATGGCCTCTTCCGCCTGATGCTTTGGACTCTCCTAATATCTTTCTAATAAGCAGCATCTGGTCTTGACATGCCCGTACCTCTCGCTAAGCGGCCCCGGGCCTGGCACCAGCAGTAGTAGCCTTGGTTCGTAACTTGACCTGTCTGGGTACCTTCAAGCCCAGCATAAATGGTAGCCATTTACAGATTGCTCTGTAGCTCGTGTTGGGTGGCCTAGGTAGTGCACAAGTGATGGCTGGCTTTGCACCTCCCAGGAAGCCCCAAAGCCAGTGCGCCTAGTGGACAACTTCTGACCACACTGGATTATAACCCTACCACCTCCATGAGTGACTCATCAAGGGCTACACTTGGTGGGCACCAAAGCCTCACTGAAGCAAGTCCTGCTTCATACAGTCAACATCTGCACAGCGGCAACTCCACTATCGTCGCAGCTGATCCTTGCCGACACTTGGCCTGGGGGTCAATCCCTCCCAGTGCCTCAAACAGCAATCAAGGCTCAACTACAACAGGACAGTGCACACCTGGAGCACCCAGCTCAGGTGACTGGGA